GGAGCCGGGGGCCCGGGCGGGTGCGCCCGGCCGCCCAGTGAGCGCCCGGGCGGCGCGGCCCGGGCCGAAACAGCCACGCTGAACCTGAGGAGGACAGGGACAAGGTACGTCCCGGGGTCCAGCACCCACCGCCAGCTTGCGCTCTGCCTCAGTCTACCTCTTGGGAACTCTGCCCACACTTTTCTAACCCCTAAACCGGGACCGCGTGTGCGTGCCTAGGGAAATGGGAATACCTGCCACCACCTCTCCCGTGGCTAGGTGCCCCAGCCCATTGCCAGAGGGCGACCCAACTGGGGCCAGAGAGGACACGGGTTGGTGCTTTCCTTGCCCTTGGTTTTTTTCCCTCCCCCACTCCCCCCTTCCAGAGCTTCCCCAGTCCCTGAAGGTGGGGTGGGTGGGGCAGGAGAAGGCGGGCTGCTGGGACTGGGCTGGAGGCAAGGGCGTTAATGATTAATCTTGGACACAGTGGCCTGAGCCCTAGGGGAGGAGGGGCAAGGATCTCCCCTCTCCCCATCAGGCTCCAGAAGGGGGCGTCAGAGCAAGGACTGAGGGCTGTGGCAAAGGATGGTGCCCTTCTACTTGGGGACACCCTTACCTGTACCCCAGAGGGAAGCAAAGCCACCAAGGGGAGGCTAGGGATCAGGGCACAAGGGAGTGGAACAAATCCTGATATACTGGAAGGATCCCGTAGGACATTCCACGTGCCTGTTTCCTGAGCCAGTGTCCAAGAAGGAGGTTCAACTTGGTCTGCCCCCTCGGTGTCAGCCCATCACTTTGGTAACAGCACAGAGCACAGTACAGACTGTGATGCCTTCCCATTGGGGGCCACTTGCCCCAGCTGCCAGGAGCAGGAGAAGTGATGGATGCACATCTGGCTTCTGTAACCTACACCCAGGGGAGGGAAAGAGGGTAGCAGGCCTGACACCTGATCCTGGGGTTGCCGTGGTGACAGGTACAGTGGAAAACTCCAGAGGGGAGAGAGGTGAGGAGGACTGTCTAGTCCAGTCGGGAGAATCCAATCTCTTCCTTTACTGAGGGATGACCTAAGGCCCAGAGAGAGTGAAGCTTGTCCAGGGCCACACAAGAGGCATAGGAGGACTGTCCCAGACCGGAGCAGCCTCTATGCTGCACTGAACCTTGCCCTGTGAAGGAGACATTGCTACTTATACCCACTATCCAGAAGGGGAAACCAAGGCTCAGGGAGATTCTGTGACTTCACCAAGGTCACATAGTTCGGGAGTGGCTGTGTTAACTCCAAATCACAGGAGTCTTGCCCCAGCCCCTACCTACCACTACTCAGGACTTCTCTGCCCCTCTGGGGTCCTTGCCTCTTTGATCTGCCTGGGCTGCCCCAAACCCTGAGCTCAAGACCCCTCCCCTCTGGCCTCCCTGGCTCCCAGCTCCGCCTGACACTCGGGGGGTGGACAGGCTGCTACCCCGGGAGCAGAGACAACGAAGCCCTGTTCCCAGCTGCCACCTCAGCCTGCTTCATTCCCTGCTTCTCACTCAGGCGGGGCCCTTCCTGGAGAAGCTTCCTGTGGACAAAGAATGCCAGCATCCCAGGCAGCCCCTTCCCATAATGGATCCAATGCCCTCCTGTCAAGGGAGGAGTGTGTCCCCTTGGCCCCTCCCACTGGGCTCTGAGGGACTGGGTGTGTCACCCAGCAAAAGAGGCGATGATTAACCTGGGAGAACGATGCACAGATGGAGGAATTCTGGGCATGGCAGCAGGCTTATGAAGGGCTTGCTTCGCTCTGATGGGATGAGGCATGTGGACAACCCCTTTTGGGAATCCCGGAGCACTCCAGACAGGGCAGGGCAGGACAGAGCAGAGGAGCCCATTGGGCTGGGGACCACTGGAGTTGCCAGGTGAGGGGTGATGGCGGGAGGAAGTGGGGGTTCCAGGGGATACCTGCTTTTCCACCTGGTAGTTCCAGAGATATGGGATGGCTTGGGTATCCTCAGATCTGGCCCCAGCAGAGAGCCGACTTGCTGTGAACCCTGGGCGGTCCTTGGATGGGGAGGGTGGCCTTCCAGGAGCCTACAATGACAGATCCTGCTTCCCCTGCCAGGTGGGATCATGTAATTAGAGATGCTAACACTGAGTGTGGCATCACAGTGAGGGCATCGTCGTAGCTCCATTCTGTAGGAAACTAAGTCTCGGAGAAGGGAAGTCACTTGTCCAAGGTCACCTAGCTGAGGCATGGTGGGCTCGGGATTCGTAACTAGGGCATCTGGGAGTCTCTAGGGGTGGAGAGGTGGGAGTGTGTATCCAGGGCATTATGTGTAGCAAGTGCTCAGTATCTTTTTAAAAACCTTTGTATTACATATTTTTATGCAAACAAGTGCATAGTAATCCTTTAGAAATATTTCAGGCTACATGCAGTGGTGCATGCCTGTAGTCCCAGCTAACTCAGGAGGCTTAGGCAGGAGGATCACTTGAGGCCAGGAGTTTGAGGCTCTAGGGTGCTGTGATCATGCCTGTGAATAGCCACTGTACTCCAGCTTGGACAACATAGTGATCGCGAGACCCTGTCTCTACAAATGACAAAAGAAAACATTATTTCAGGCACATTATAAAGTACAGATATGTAGGGTATCACCAACTCCTACATGCTTACCCCTGGGGGTTCTCAGCATTTGCAGGGTTAATGAAGAAGTGATGGACTTCTTGGTCAACCTGTGATTTGCCACTTCCCAGTTAGAGCTACTTTGGGTGGGGCTACTCAGGTCTGCTCTCAGGAAGGAGGGCGATTTTACCCAGAGAGGGTGGTATAGCAGGAAGAACTATGGGTTTCCTCTTAGTACTGTCTTTGCCATTCAGACCTCCCACCAGTTGCTGAGCTTCAGTTTGCCCACCTGTTACATGAGTTGCTAGAGGATACAGGGTTTGTCAAGGTCGTAGGTGTGGCTGCCCTTTGAAACAGCAGAGACAGGTGACCCTGCAAGATCTAAGCACTTTCTGAATCATCAATGAACATTACCCTCTCTCAACTGCCAGGTCTGGTACCACCTGGCATCCACACTTCCTGCCAAGGGGACAGTAGGAACCAGATGTTAGAACTGACAGTTTGGAAGTGGTCCTGCAAGCCAGCAAGTAGGGGTCCAGCTGAAATGCCCCACTGGGTACC